GCCGAGAAATTGCTTGTGGTGTATCCCTTCCATGTATGCCGGGAAAATTCCTTTCAGTGACACGGGGCTCCCCCCATGTGATATTCGCAGTTATCTTGCCGTCTGCAGTGGACTTCGTAACCACACCAACGGCAAGCAGAATATCCCAGTCGCTTCCATCAGGCTGCCAAGTCCAGTAGCTTCCCGATTTATTGTAGCTTCCAACCAGGACGTAAAGCTTGTTGCCCTTCACAATCACTGTGGGATCCACCACACGAGAAACAGACGATACGCGACTGTTCTTGATGCCAATTTGAGTCTCCCACGTCTCCCCATCGTCCACGCTGTACTTCACTACCGTATCAATGAGGGAGTTGTCATTGGATGACCTGTAGCGAGCGTCTGCAATGGCAACCATCACCCCGTCCACATTAACAAGGGCGGGGAGGCGGAACGAGTGGACAACCCGCTCGGTGACTTTGCCCTTGTCTTCAAACGGCACCGTCGAATTCTTACGCTTAAACAGTTCAATTCGACTCGATTCGGGTGCCAGGGCATGAGCAGGCACATTGGGGCAAAAATTCAAAGGGAAAAACAAAAACAAGCACGTAAAGGAGCAATTGGGGCATTCTTTCCACCTTGACGCTTGAATTTTGACTCGTGATTGATATTTCCATGTGAAGGTAAAGCCTGTTTAATTACGTTGAATATTTGCCTGTGCTGCTGGCTGAATCCTGAGCTTGTCTATATAAATAGAACGGAAAAAAAGAAGGGGGCAATAGAGAGGCAGTGGCCTCGCCATTACCCTCGATGTTTATCCCAAGTATATATTCCGATAACCTCTCTCATGACACGGTGTAATTTGTTAGAATTGGAGATATTATTCCTTAAAAAGCGGAATGCTTTGGGTTCCTCCAGCCACAAGACTCCGCCGCGAGGTCGGAATGAAAGAGGATGAAGGGCAAAAATGAAAATAATTACAAATCGTCTAGACGCTGTTGGCTCCTTGAATCCCTCAATCTCGGTCAAACAGAAACAGATAGAGAAAATGACGTACAGAGATAGACTATTTTTATCAAGATAAATATGTTAAATTAGATAGCCCACATGCCCCGTGAACATTCTCTTCACAAGCTCCCAGTGAACAGTGGTCAAGAACAAAAAAAAGAAAAATAAGGAAAACACGGCGGCCTTCCCTTCACAAAAAATATTCAAAAAATGGGGTAGCAAGAATAATTTCTTTGGACAGGCATCGGTGTATTGTTCTTTCGCTTTATTAACCCTCAGTGCAGTATTTATTTGTTCGGCGGGCACCCTTGTCCGGTATTGACAGTGTTTTTCTTAAAAATTTAAAAAATTAAAAGATTAAAAAGGTCCTGGAAAAAACTTTAGCATCTGAGAAGCTTTTCTCCTATATAAAAGCCGTTACGCCTCTCTATCGTGCAAAACGCTAGCCTGATATTCATGGGAATGGTGCGTCAGCATCATTTAAATACTCCACAGTGTCATTCGCATATGTATTGTGTCCAAAAATGAAATTGTTAAGTCAAAAAGTAATTTATAGCATAACATAGCGGCAAAATCGGCTGTCATTAACTCATTTAAAGTTTCTGTCAAAAGAAATACATAAAAAGGCGATTGGTTCCGCGTATTATAAAGAATTTATATGCCCATCGGAAAAACGCTATATGGCGTTAAGGAATAGAAAAATTCATAATTGAGCAATAGAATGAGCGAATTGAATTATACACCAGAAGTTTTTTTTTCTCTCAGTAGTCTATTTGTATTTTCTATTCCTTTTTTGATTTCACTGGAAGGCGTGAGATACCAAATGCATTGTTGAGTACACCACATATTTTTCAGCGTTGGGGAATAAGAAACGAGTTTCTGAGTTGGCGTGCCATGTTTGTTATGCTTATCTTTCGATTCTTTTAATACTGTTTGAATTTACTGTGAATTGCCAACGGATAAAAATGAAAAGGTTTTTTCTCACAAAGAAAAAAAAGAAAAGGATGACAACGCATTATAGAAAAAAAAAACGTGCCAACAATTGCCCCTGCCTCGCCAAAATGTTTTGTCCGCGCACAAGAAGCAGTGTTATTGTCATTTCGAAGCATTCTCATTCTGCGGAGAATCGGATGACGCCCCTCTGGCACTTCATTCGGTACTTGGTTTAAACATGCGCTGGCCTTCACGCAGGTGCTTTGTGTGCGAAAGTGTTAACATCAAAAAGTAACAGCAAAGCTCGCGACGCGGGTGATATACTGGAGCGCCACAAAAAAAAGATGTTCCATGCATGTCGCCCTTCGAACGAGTAATAGAAGAAGAAATATTACACAAAAAAAAAAGCCACAGGAAACGCCGCAAAAAGCAATAGGAATTGACAGGAAAAGCCACAACTCACCAGCAACATCGCCAGCGGCCGAGAAGCCGCACTTCGCCGCGCCGTTCTTCCCCGCCCGTCCTCGACCATACGCCGCCGCCCGCGCCGCAAGGAAACCAAGGCGGCCGCCCCTTCGCCCCCCGAAACCGCGAACGCCCGCATTGATTGCTGCCGCCGCGCGCGAGCATGCGGCCAGTTCTTTGGAAATCTTCAAATAAGGGCGTGGATGTGTTTTATTTTTCCTGTATTGGGCAGCGCGTCCCGGTTGTGTGGCGGATGGCGTCGCCAATGGTAAATCGAGGCTCTGGTGCGGATTTGGAAGCATATGTATATTTTTTAACTTTTATTGTTCATTTCGTTTATTCTACTTCTGTTATGAACTTTAATTTTGCCTGCGTCATTTTTTGGGGTGGCTTGTGCTTATTTTGGGGCTGGCTCTTTGTTGTTTTGTTTTTTTTTTTTTGTTGTTGTTGTTTTTTTTTCTGCTGTTTTTGTTTTGTTTTAATGTTGCACTCCGTTTTGTTCTTGGAGATGTGTTTGTGATGATGCCGGTGGTGGAATACTCGTTTTTTGTTTTTTTTTGTTTTTGTTTTTTGCTTCTTTACTTTTGTCTTTTCTCTTGCAGCTTGAATTTCGCCATGAACCTCACAACTTGTATTGTTGGGGATTCTATATGTGGTTCTTTGGGTGATTCCAAGCTTTTAGAACCTGAAGGTGTTGTGTTTCTTAGGGGATACAGTACCTACGAGGGCAATCGACCAAATGAAGTTGCTGCTGCACAGGAAGGCGGTGGTGAAATCATTGCTGCCATTAATGGTTTGATAGAGGTAACGGATCGTGTAGTTTCAGTCAAGGGGATATCTACGCGATATCATCCTGAAATAGGGGACATTGTTATTGGTCGAGTAAAAGAGGTCAGTGGCAATCGGTGGCGTATTGATATTTCTGCCTATCAAGACGCGGTGATGCTGCTTTCGAACGCAACTGAGCCTGGTGGTATACTCAGGAGGAGGGGAAGAAATGATGAACTCACTATGAGACACATATTTGATCAAGACGAAATAGTTGTTGCTGAAGTGCAACGCATTTCTTCCGATGGTGTAGTTTCTCTTCATACTCGATGTGGTGAAAAATATGGAAAACTCACTGGTTTTGGAATGCTTGTGTTGGTCTCTCCTGCCTTGGTAAGGCGCGCGAAACATCATTTTTTGAAACTTGGTATTTTGCCGGTGGGTATTATTCTTGGGACTAATGGAATGGTTTGGGTGAACCCAGACGTGGCACAGAGGGGAGGAACAGATAATTCCTTTTATTTTAACGAGCAAACAGATGTTGACGTGAGACGAAGTGTCGCGCGTGTGGCAAACTGCATTAAGGTAATGAACTTTGCCCGTCTCCCAATATTTGCAAAAACCATTGAAGCTTCTGTGAAATTGTCCATTGATGTGGGACTTGGGCCATTTGATGTTCTACATACTTCGAATTACGATTTAATAACAAATGCCGTCATGGAGGCCATAACAAAACGAAAACGTCAGAGATCATAAAAGCTTTATATATTTTGTTGTTTTTATTGTTATGCTTCTTTTTTTTTTCAGCTTTGGGTCAAAATTTTGTAAAAAAAAAAAAAAAAAAAAAAAAAACTGCCGTGTAAACTGTTATATATACTTCTATTTATTTATTTATTTATTTTTATTCTTTTTTATTTTATTATTTATTTATTCTGGATTAGGTGGGGATAAAAATGAAAATCCGTTTACACAAAAGTCGTTTTTTACTTTCACTCATAGCTCTAATATATGTAATATGTTTTGCTACAATGTGGTACGACGACAGCGAGAGCGAAGTGGTCAATCAGATTCCGCATAAGCCCTCATATTTTAACCCCATGTATCGTCATACAGACACGCTTATTATGATTCCTTGTCATGGTGTCTTAAGATCTTTGAACGCTTACGATTGGCAGAACCAAAGTTTGTGGGAATTCGAGAAGCATCAGCTTCGTGATGGTGTAACTTTACCTTTTTGTCTTGCATCTCATATTCGACGAGCATTACAGATTTTGAAAGAGAGATTTGATTCCTCTATATTGATTTTTTCGGGAGGTCAGACCAAAGTCAGTGCGGGGCCCCGTAGCGAAGCTCTAAGTTATTATCTTGTGGCTGAGGAAACCAATTTATTTGGTCTCTTCAATTCCAGTGTTCAGATTAGGAATGCTCTTGAAAGGCGAATCTTTACTGAAGAATTTGCTCGGGACTCATTGGAAAATTTGTTGTTTAGTATCGCACGTTTTTACGAAATAACAGGTCATTTTCCAGAATCGATCATCGTTGTTGGATGGAAACACAAAAAAGAGCGCTTTTTGAAATACCATAGACAGGCCTTACGTTATCCAGCGGAAAATTTTTTTTATATAGGGCTTGCATTTGAGGACGCAGCTCCCTTTGTGAGGGATCTGGAACCGTATCGGCTTGCTTTACCATATAATGATGCCATTGCTCTTTCTTATGTTAGTAAGGATATGTATCTTTGTACTGCTGGGAAAGAAACGAAAAATAAAAGAAATCCCCAGTTTCGTTACCCGCCTTATGGGATAACTTGCCCCCCCCTTCTTCCGCTGCTGCGACACTGTGGTCCGCATCTTATTGATCGCAGTCTGGTTCCATGGAAGTAACTAATTACCATTTAGTCTTATTCTTGTTCTTCAGTATATATATACCTTTTTTGAGACAAACGTTTTTTGTTTGTTTGTTTGAGTAATGTTTTTTGTTTGAGCTTTTTTTTAAGCATTTGATCTGTTTTTTTTTTTTTTTTTGTTTTTTTTGATGTGTCTTTTAGATGTCTTCCCCCAGCGAATTGTTTGAAGGTTTGAAAGTCGATTTTAGGGAAGAGCTGGAGGCGGAAGATATTTATGGTTCCGAAAACTCTGAAGGGTTTGAGCGACTCTTTGAGAGGAGCGAAAAATGTAAACGGAATGTAACACAGCTTTCTACTATTCTCCAATCTCTTATCTTTCAGGAGAACGAAATTGAGACTGAAGGTGAACTTGAGGCTATTATAGAATACATTGTGGGCACTGGTTTATATGGCCAGAGTAGCAGTCTTGAGGCCAAGGAGTTCAGAAAGAAGATTCGCGCCTCGTTTGAGTATGAATGGCATGAGTTTCAAAAGGAGAACTCTTCCATCTCCTCTTCTCGGGCTATGCGTACTTTGCCATATCGCTTTTCCCTGCCTTCTCTCGAAAAAGCACAGCTTGAAATGCTGACCGAGTTGAGTTCAAGAGGGATGAGTAACGGGAGCTTGGGTACGGTTTTGCTTCGTATCTGGTACATAGATCTTGTTGGTTGTACCTGCTCCACATTGCGGGGATTTCCGTTTGACATGAAGGCTTCAGATGCAATACTGATCACAATGGAACGCTTGTTTTTGATTACAAATTTTGACAAAAGTAAAAGCCAAGGAATCATGTACGTTTTCAAAATACAGGGACGAAAGGAATACGTTTATGGGGATGAAATATTGATTAATTTTTGCTACATAAGGGACAGTGTGACACAGCAGCGGGAGGTAAATGTGGTTGTTGAGCCGCATGAGAAGACACTTCTAACTGACCCTATATTTGTGCCTTCGTACTCGTACTTCAGCAAAACCAGTGATGAACATCACCATGTTTATTATAAAAGTGAATCTCCCGATGACATCTCCACAGGAATCAGTGTTTGGGATATTGAAGGTAAATTGGTAGTCAAAATTGGAGAGAATCTCTGTAATCTTGTCTTTACTTCGGAGAGAGCAAAGGAAGAAGGTGTTCGCGAAGGCGATTTATTGTATCTTGCAATGCTTGTAGAAGTTTACCATGGTGCCAAATTGGTTTGTCGACCTCAGATGACTAAGTGGACAGTGTGTAATGATTTGGTTGCGTCGAATGAGCTTAATACTTCTTCCTCCGTTAATTGGGGAAAGGAAACGAAACTGACGTTTGATATACTAGTTTCTAATGCCCCTCGAGAAATCAAATTGTGTATTAGTCTGTTGGCCACCTGTGGGGAACGCTTTTGTAGTGTGAATTCTCTCAGCGCTGAAGAAATTGTTCAAAAAGCAGAGGAGCGTATTGGTGTAAAAAAGATGGAGGAATGTCATCTGAGTCCCGTATTCTTTTTAGGGTATGCGTCTGTCCAAGTATTTGACTATATGGCTTGTATGCAGACAGGAAAGATAGATATGCGTCTTTGGAGCACAAAGAAAAAGGCAAACCCAATGTGTCCTATCCCAAAGAATTCCAATAAAAATGATATGGGTTTTTCTTTGATCTTTCCTAGTTTTAATAAACCCGTGGTGATCCCGAACGTTGCACCTCCAGATTCCAAAAGGCGTGACTGGGAACAGCAACTTCTTGATAGTGATCTTTGCCTTGTTGGAAATTTGAGAGAAAGCAAAATTGAACAGTTAAGACAGTTAAAGCGAATCCTTGCAAGTGACCCACTGACTGAACTTACAACAATTGATAAGGTGCTTCTCTGGAAACATCGAGGAGAACTCATTTTGCGTCCGAGGGCACTTGCAAAGTTTCTTCTTGCTGTTAATTGGCTTCGGCCTTATGCTGTATATGAGGCTCATACTATTTTACCACAATGGGCTCCTCTTCAACCGATGGATGCGCTTGAATTACTAGATATAAGATATGTGGATATCGTTGTTCGAGAGCATGCTGTAAAGTATCTGAACGGTATGACAGATTACGAACTCAAAGGGTGTGTTTTACAATTGGTACAAGTTCTTAAGCATGAACCCTATCATGATTCCGCTTTATTTAGATTTTTGTTGAGAAGGTCATTACAATCGCCGCATATGATCGGCCATTATGTTTTTTGGTACCTGGTTTCAGAGATGGAGAATACATCCGTTTCTGAACGCTATGGACTTCTATTGGAAGAATTGATCCGTCGCATGCCAGAAAGAAAAGTTTATTTGCGTCAATTGTATTTAGCTGATCAATTGTTTGAATGTGCGATGCGTGTTAAAGATGCGCCGAAAAAGGATCGCATTGACTGTCTTCGAGAGCATCTTCAAGGCTTGCGTTTGCCACGCCGCTTTACCCTCCCCATAAACCCGGCAATGGAGTGTAGCGGTCTCGATATTGGTAAGTGCAAAGTAATGGATTCAAAAAAATTTCCTCTTTGGCTTGTATTTAGAAACTATCAAGAAGAAGGTGATCCTTTTTACGTGATTTTTAAGGCAGGGGATGATTTGCGACAAGATTTGTTTACTCTTCAACTTCTTGAATTGATGGATTCCCTTTGGAAGTCTTGTGGGTTATACCTCCACATCATTCCTTATGGGTGCATTACTACTGGAGAGGGAGTCGGAATGATTGAGGTTGTTCTTAACAGTGATACTGTTGCAAACATAACTCGCAAATATGGTGGTGCACAAGCTGCCTTCCGTGAGGAACCGCTCATGAATTGGCTAAGGCAGTTTAACCGGGAAAGAGACGAAGTGGAAAGATGTCTCTGGAATTTTATTTGCAGTGTTGCCGGATATACTGTAGCAACATATGTTTTGGGTATCGGTGATCGTCACAATGATAATATTATGCTTCGCCAGGACGGAACCCTTTTTCATATTGATTTTGGTCATTTCTTGGGAAACTTTAAGACGAAATTCGGTATTAAAAGGGAAACTGCGCCTTTTATTTTTACACCAATGTACGTCTATATGTTGGGAGGACAAAGTAGTCCTATTTATTTGTATTTTGTGGATCTGGCATGTCATGCCTTTAACGTTGTAAGACGTTTTGGTGGTACGCTGATGACTCTCTTTATGCTAATGCTTTCGACAGGCATACCAGAACTACAGAAGATTGAGGACATTGGCTGGCTAAGAACTGTTTTGCTTATTGATCGTTCAAGTGAGGAGGCAAGGGAACATTATCGGCTTCAAATAGCCCTTGCTACGAGCAACTTTCGTACTCTGTTCAATGACTATATTCATATTATGACACATTAGTGTTAAATTCATAGTACAGGGTGTAATTACTTTTGTTTTGTTTGTTTGTCTGTTGTCGTTGCATGTATTCATATTTATTTATTTTTGTTGTTGTATGTGGGGGTTTATTCCATTTTTTATTTTTTATTTTTCTCTTGTGTATTTTCGTCTGAATTTAATGGAAAAAGAAACAAGAAATATGTTTGGGCGAGCCGTGATTTATTTTGTTTTATTTCTTTTTCCTTGTTGTTATTCGTAGATCAAGATCATGGCTTGGTGGAATCCCTTAACGAAGCAGATGCTGCTGCGACTCTCAAAGCACCCAACGGTGCATAGGTACGCACGTCAAGGAATGAACTATATGAGGGATCACCCTTCCGGCAGAAAAATATCCTCCGCGATGTCAAACTCTTGGGTAGAAATAAGGAGCCGCGTAGAGTCGTCTACTTCGGCTTTCCGCACCTTGGGCTTTGATGGCAATAATAAGAACGGCGGGTACGCCAAACAAGTCTTTACCCTGTGGAATGAATATAAAGGGCGTGTGTTTTCATTTATCGTTGTGAATTTCATGGGGATTTTGTTTTTTTTTCAATTTGGCTCCGCCCTGTGGCAAATGTTCAAGCAGATGGTGTCAACTCTTTTTACTGAACCGGAGAAGAAGCTCAAGAAAAATGAGGGCTCTTCTCGTGCCATCAAGGCCTACGTGGCCGGTGCCGAAGGTATTGAGGAGAAAAAGAAAAAGGTCATTTTTGCAACAGCAGCAACAGCAACGGG